CGGCGGGCGATGCCACCATGCCAGCAAGCGATGCCACCGTGCTGGTGAGCGATGCCACTGTGCCAGCGACCAATCCTACCCGGCCGGCAAGCGATGCCACCGTGCCACGTGTCCTACCAGCAGCCCCCGACACAGAAGTGCTCTCCCTCGATGGTCCTGCTCTGGGAGAGCACAGAAACGTAGCCTGGCCTTAAGCTTGGGGAGAGATGGGTCCTGTCCCGTTACAGCGCAAAAGCCTGAGCTGCAGTGCCGCGGCTCCCGGCAGTGGCTTGGAGTAATCCATACGTCTGAGCATGGGACTGCAGCCACTCTGTACCTATATTTTTTTAATCATGATTTATTTTTTTCCTGTTCATATTTTTTAACACAGTTTGTTTGCTTCCTCTTTTCATGTAGCTAGTGTCTCTCTTTTTGGATCCCATCTCCTCTAATTTAGCACTGATGAAAAATTAGAATTCTTCCACAGTTAAGAGAAATAAACAGAAAGCCTCACCGAATTTCTATTTAGCTTGTTTCTCTCAGTCAATTATACTTAAAATGTGCTGCAGCTGACAGCAGATTTTTAGTCACCTGTTCTGAGGGATGGTTCCCAAGATGCACGTATGTCAAGAACAAGCAGAGGCCTGAACAATGCTGCTAGCAGAAGGAGGCTTTCTTTTTAGAGCTTGTAGGGGGGAAACCTGGCCCCTTGGCATCGATCTGACACAGAGCTGTCGTGCTCAGGGACACCCGTCACCACTCACACGTTAAACACGGGGACCCACCGATGCTGCCAACATTGCGTGCAGTTCTCTTTTGGGCAAGGAGAACAGGCGTTTCATTGGGATCCAAGAATTTATTGTTAATCCAATTAATCCTTTAACAGTTGAATCAAAACAAGACACATTACAACAATGCCGCCCTTGTGAATCCAAAGCCAGGCAGTGTGCAGAGCCGCCTCACCCCGAAATTGTAGCTGCGGTTTCCCCTCCACGAGGTGCGACCGGCTGAGCATCGCAGACCCACCGGCAGAGCCACCCACCCCCGTCTCCTGCCACCGCCCCGAAGGCCCTGTGGCATTAAACATCTGACTTGGGGGAAAAAAAACGAATGCCAACTGCTCAGCTATGACCAAAGAATTACCCTCCCTCAGCCCTCTTCGTTAATCACTTGTCGGTGCTAATTCTGGGGGAGAAGGGGAGGAGAGGGGACCGCTTTGCCTCGGCAAGGTTTGACCCTTCACGACTTCGTCCCTCCCAAGGGGGACTGACACCCTCACCTTCTGCCCAGACACATCCACCCTGGGAGA